AAGATTGTCTCGCACCAACAGCTGTACTGTTAAATATTCATACATTTGTAGCCGCGCGTAAGTCAGAGGAACATCTTTTAGACAGACGAGATCCTGAATACTCTCAGATTGTCTGCTTCACGAAACACAACCTCGGAGAAACTGTCCGGTGGCGAAAAGAAAATGCAGATGATCGCTCTCGAGCTAGTGAAAAATCCACCGATTATCATTCTTGACGAACCGAACAGGTAAGTGCACAAAATGCAAGTAACTTTATCTAAAGTTGCATATAAGCGCGCAGAAAAATTAATTGTTCCATTTGATAGTTCTATATAAAAGTTAAACAAAATCTCAATAGACATAAAGTGGAAATACCTCCACTGTCGTATGACACAGACCAAAATCTGGAATGTGATCATGCATTAAGGATTTTCAATTTTTTCAGTGTCAATATGTTGCAATGGTCACATACTTGTCAAAACTATGTTTCTGATAATGTATTACATTAGGTTAAGCTTGAAAAACATAATGGCTACTTGTTTTCATTTAGGAGTAATCGGGCTTTCCTTAGTTTCAGCAATAGTGATTGCTGTTTCACGTGATGTAATGTTAATAGCATATAATATTACAAGTGTTTTTCGCCAATTTTTGATGCATTTATGAACTNTAATTTTACAATTTTATCGTTCTAATTTCTTTATTTGATTATTTTTCATCTTTCATCTCGGTGTTATATATGTTACTTACAAAGAGCTTTCACTTGTCATTTTCGAGTCAGACAACTACCATCTAAACAAGCGATACTCAAATTATTTAGATGGCGGTTATCTGACCTGAAAATGACGAATGTAAGCTTTAAGAGTTAGCACAATTAATTGATTTTGTAGATAAAATTGGATTATTTTTATTCGTTGCTCCGTCGTGAATTTCTCTATAACGTTTTTCCAAGGATTACAAATAATTTGAAAAAAAAATTTCAAAAAATTAATAGCAAAAAAGTTAATATATTTTTAAATGATCTAATGACTTTTTGATCTTTATAAGCTTTANTGAGTTAGCACAATTGATTGATTTTGTAGATAAAATTGGATTATTTTTATTCGTTGCTCCGTCGTGAATTTCTCTATAACGTTTTTCCAAGGATTACAAATAATTTGAAAAAAAAATTTCAAAAAATTAATAGCAAAAAAGTTAATATATTTTTAAATGATCTAAGGACTTTCTGATCTTTATAAACATTTTTCTTATTCCGATGAAAGGTCTACACGCTCTCCGATATAAAAAGAAAAAGTTGATCGAGAACACTCTATGTATTTTTTGCATCTTCTCTGCTGTTCTTTGTATCTATTTCTCCTTTTACGCAGTCAGCACTTTGGAAATATTCATTTTTCAAGACAATTAGCACTGCGCATTTACGCATCATTATGCATTTATAATGAGTGGAATGTACAAAAAATTAAAATTTGTCACATAATATTATCTTTTAAGAATACGTAAGTGGACGACTGTTCATCAAAATATGTTAAAAGTGTGAAGAATTCTCTAATAGAGATAAATATACACGCGAATATTCACATTTAGACAAAAGGCAAATATTTGATAATAAGTGATACATTCGAAAAGTATATGAAAAAATGTTTCAACATTGTCTATCGCATTTAAAAGGTATTAAGCAAATATCCCAAACAATATCGAATCATACCCGTCATAAAATAAAGCGTTAAAATTATTTTCTTTCGATGACAGTAAGCTACATAATATTCTCTCGCACGTTAATTTTCGAAGCACATTATAAACGTAAATATATTGTTGATTGAACTTTCTTTCAGTGGTTCGGATGAACTGTCTTCTTCTCAATGTGTCGCGTTTCTGCAAAAATTGGCGCATATTGGACATACTGTCATATGTTCGATACACACCCCCAGCGCGAAAATATTTCAAAAATTAGACTACGTCTACGTCATCACTGCAGGACAATGCATGTACAGAGGCAGTGCGAGCAACCTAGTGCCATATCTACAAAGCGTGAACATAGAATGTCCGAGACATTACAATCCTGCAGATTTTGGTAAGTTTACAAGAATGTAAAAAAGCGATCGCACGTTCAATTACTCTAAATTGTAAATTAGTCTAAATTACACTGATTTCTGCCAATATTGTACGCCCAAAATATTAGTATTAAGCATTTCAAGAGAATAGATTCATAAGTTACATTAAATTGT